TGATTAATCCTCCATATAATCCCCAAAGCAGGGAGTTCAGAGAACTTCCGGGTTTGGTGACTACACCTATGTCCTGGGAGGGTGGCAGGCCCCAGCTCCACAGGGACAGAAGCTCCTTTGTTCAGAATCCCTTCTGAATTCACCCTATGTAACTCTTTATCTGGTGTTCATTTGTATCCTTTAATATCCTGTGTAATAAACTGGTGATTTAGTAGGTAAAGTATTTTCCTGGGTTCTGTGACCTACTCTAGAAAATTAACTGAACCAAGGAAGAGGGTCATAGGAACCTCCAACTTAGAGCCGGCCGGTCAGAAGCACAGCCAACCACCTAGACTTCTGACTGGCATACAAACTGGGGAAACTGAGCCCTTTACCTGTGGGATCTCGTGTTAACTCCAGGTAGACAGAGTAGGAACTGAACTTCAGGACACCCAACTAGTGTCACCGAATTGGTAGACGTGTAGAAAACCCTACGATCGGTGTCAGAATGTGGTGAACGTGGGAGTAGTGTGAGAATAAAGCAAAGCAGGGAGTTTTCCCCAAGAGACCTTCCCACTCCTCCTTAACAGTGATGGCCTTCCCACCAGGACTGCCCGCTGCGGGCTGTCACCTCTCTTCTGACACCACTGCCTGACTGCCTGCTCACTGCTGGTTTCTGAGTGTAACCCTCTGGCCTGTCTCACTCCAGCGGCCTCTTGGTCCTGATCTGGCCTTCCGTCTATTCACACGAAGCCAGAAAATCAGTGCTAAAGGGTATGAAGTATATTGCGAGGGGTTGTTTTATTATTATTATTTTTATCTGAGAGAGCGCAAACACAAGCGAGGGAGAGGGGTAGAGGGAGAGAGAGAGAAAGATGGATAATCTTAAGCAGACTCAATGCTCAGCATAGAGCCCAACGTGGGGCCTGAGCTCACGATCCTGGGATCATGACCTGAGCCGAAATCAAGAGTTGGACGCTCAACTGACTAAGCCACACCAGCGCCCCAAGTATGAGGTTTCTTGTTGGGGTGATAAAATATTCTAAAGTTACTTGTGATGATGGGTGCAAACTCTGCAGATGCTAAAAACCACTGAATTGAACACTCAGGAGTTGGTCAAATCATCCGTCCTCTGCTCAAAACCCTCCCACACCACCCTCTGGGAGGTGACCTCACCTCTTCCTCCCTGCTTTGCCCACAATGTTCCGTCCTCCATGGTGGCCTTCTTTATGTTTCCTAAGTAAACTCCTGAGCCAGGGCTCTGAACCTGCTGTGTCGTTGTCCAGAAGCTTCTCCCAACAGCTGCATGGCTCGTGCCTCACGTCCTTCAGATTGCAGCTCCAATAGCATCATCATCAAGATTTTCCTCATGACCCTAAGTAAAACGGCATTCCCCCACCTGATGCACAAGACCTGCCACTTACTATCTCCCTCCTGTCTGACAACACCAGCTCTTCCTTTCCATACTTTCATTTTCTCTCTATCCTCCTTTGTTTTGCTCACTACACATCTTTACTTGGTACCTAGAAAATAATAGGCAGGCAACAGACACTTGAGTAAATACTTACTGAGTGAATGAATAAATAACTGGTCTTGAGTGTGACCCATTCTTGGCTCCGGCAATGGCAAAACCAAACCCTAGGTAGGTTTCAGTTTAACTATCACAGGACACGCTTTAACACTGCCATTAATAAAAATTCCTACCTTCAGAAAGTTCGTATCATTCCTGCAAAAGACAAGATCTGCCTTTCAGATTTGCTAAAAAAACGATGACAAAAGAAATCTGAACAACCTGGAATAGGGAGGGTTAGGCAGCAATCTAAATGGCTAAATTGCAAATGCAGGTTAAAAAAATCAATTCAAAGCTTCCTGATGGTGACAAACCACAAAGTATTTTAGAGCAACGATTTTGCCATATTGACTTGTCATAAAGTGCAAGTAGCCTTTTCTCTGAGGCCAAAACAGAAATAATTCCAGATTCAGGTCAATGAATAGAACTCACTGTAAGCAGGCTTTGGTGCCTCAAAAAGGATCAAACTCCACGTACCTATAACATCCATTAGTCCAGTTAAAGATGAGACACAGCAGGGAGGCTCTGTGTTTACCCATCCCATTCTGATCAACTTCAGATCAAGGGCTGTATCTCATGTATGTTTATATCCCAAGCCCAGAGCCTGCACTGGGCCCAATGTATACTTGCTGAATATGAATGAATAGTTCCCCCAAATTATATATATATCAATAGAACTGCCCATAAACTCATGTGGCAGTTTCCTGTTTTCAGAATACTTTCTGAAAGCAAAACAATTCTCATAGCTGTCATAGCTGCTATGACATAATGTCTAACTACTGTCCCAAATCCACTTATCTCGATCTTAAAGAAAAGGCAACTAAAAGACAGACAGACTAGAGAATATTCAGCTCCAAAGTATCACCTCACATATGACTTATCGCAAAAGGATTAAGGTACCCTGTCAGTGGAGGGACCCGATAAACACCACCTTCACCAAATGATTATTGACAGCAGTGTTAGTAAAGGTACACCGTGATGTTAAAGGTCTCCTGATATAATGCACTGAGAAGTGGACATCACCTGTATAGATAGGATTCTAAACAAAAATGTTTAATCTGAATGTAAGCATGAAAAAAATGATCGATAAACTTAAATTATAGGACATTCTATGAAATTAGGCTGGACTCTTCAAAAATGTGAAGGAACAAAGATGGAGTAACTGTTCTAGATTCACGGAGACTAAAGAGACATGGCAACTAAATGCACAGTGTGATCCTGGATTAGATCTGGGTTTTTTCGTTTGTTTGGTTTTTTTAAAGAAAAAAGCTATGTGGGGAGCCTGGGTGGCTCAGTTGGTTAAGCATCAGAATTCAGCTGAGGTCGTGATCTCGCGGTGAGTTGGAGCTCCACGTTGGGCTCTGTGCTGAGAGCTCAGAGCCTGGAGCTTGCTTTGGGTTCTGTGCCTCCCTCTCTCTCTGCCCCTCCCCTGCTCACTGTCTCTCTCTCTCTGAAAAATAAACATTAAAAAATTAAATAAATTTAAAAAAAGATACATGCTGAAGTATTAGGCATGAAGCATCATCACTTCGGTAACTTCCTTTCTAATGGGTCTGCAGAAAATAAAAATGTTGTGTGCGTGTGTGTATGTATGTATATACACAATTCACACACACATATATGTATATAGAGATAAAGCAAAAGAATGAAAATGTTAATAATGAGTCGAAGTAAAGTACTTCAATGTATCAGTATGTTTGAAAATTTCAAAATAAGGACACAAAAACAGACTAATCTGGTCCAGCAGAACCTCCAGACTGTGTGTACATTGCATTTTTCATAGTGTCTCCAGAATGCCATAGATTTGTTGTCACGGTCAAACGTGCTCTTAGTACCTTTTGAAACAACGTGAGCTGCCAGATTATCATTTTAGCTAGAGTTCCAAACTAACATCTGCATCTGCCCCAACGTGGTTATTATCATCAGCTGTCCCACAAAGCTGTCAGGGAAACTACTAGGCAGGTAAATACACACCAAGTCCCGGGGGTCCACTGAATGGCGCCCGGCAGTCGCTTCCCCGTGGAAGAGAAATCACAGGTGCCTTGTTTATGACTGCAGTCAGTAAGTAATCCAATCGTTCTTGTTTTGCAGGTCCCTGGCCCAATTCTCGAATTGTTTACTCCCAGTCACCTTTGCCGGACAGCCCAACCTCACCCTTCCATCGCCACTGGTCTGTCTCCTGGCCTTTTAAAGGTCCAACACAGAACTGCGCCCTCCCCTCAAAGCCTTTATGAGCCTTCCCCAGTCATTTCTCCTCTTCTCAGTTTTCTGAGCATGGAGAGCTTTCTACCTTCTTATAATTTTGAAAAAACCCTTACATCAGGCCCAACAGAAGCTCCGGCGGGCGTTAAGGAGAGTGAAAACGCATCTGTG